CAAATTACTTACTTAAATTGAACCTGGGGGACACCTGCCTTTTTTTTGTCCAAAAGCTAAAACAATATACAGGTATACAAAAAAACACATATACACAGTTCTGTATAGTACGTCCTTTATTCGGGGTTCAGTTATGAAAACCAGACTGTAAAAGGCAGAATCTATATGGTCACAGGATAACTGACATATAACAATTTCCGTCACGAAGAGTTTCACACCAGGCACTGGTGACCACCACGCGCACTCGCTGGGGATCACCAGGCACTCATATAAGCCATGTTAAGTGTAAAATTTATTTATTATTTCTTAAATTCAAAAGGCGTGAGAGCGACCTTATACGAGGGCGTTTGATCTCGTTCGAATGCAAAGTGAAAACTACGTACCCTGTAAATTCGGGTGCGGGCGTGTGTGGATAGCAGGTGTGTACCAACGGTCGACACAAACATGGTAAAAGTCCGCTAAACTAGGACAAGATCTTTTGCTACCCTACCCTATAAACAACCTCAATCCACCCAGCAGCAGTGCCTATCCCCTGTGTGCCTATTGCACGTCTGTCCGGTCCTGGGAGAGGGATCCCTCCTCTGTTGCTCTCCCTGAGGTTTCTCCCATTTTTCCCTTTAAACTTTGGGTTTTCTCTGGAAGTTTTTCCTTGTACGATGTGAGGGTCTAAGGACAGAGGGTGTCGTATTGTCATACTGATATTCTGTACAAACTGTGAAGTCCACTGAGACAAATGTAACATTTGTGATATTGGGCTATATAAATAAACATTGATTGATTGATTGACTCAGGGTGTAGGTGGGGGATGGGCAATACAAGTGATAAAGTGCCCCCTTTGCCTTCTCTTCTCTACTCCCCCTGCTCCTGTTTGCTGAGGATACCTTTTGCGTGTTCTATTTCATGTTGTTACTCCACCATTCAGCTCTATAGGTGTTTGTATAGCTTTGTGTGGCTCTCACACAGGCTACTCCTGCACTGAGAGGCTTATGTAACAACAGAAGGCCAGATGTTGTAGTATTGGAGCCGCTGTTGGTTGGGGTTCTGTTCTGACTCAGTCCAGGATCCCTGAACTGCTGCAATCATATAGCTTTCTTTTTGTAGGGAAAATTAATATATTGCATTATATATTAAACACCCAAGCTACAAACATTGCTTACTCTAGGGGGCTTCAACTGGCAATCTTAATACACAAGGTATGCCCTATGATTTTGCCAAAATGATGCTTAAATACAATAAATGTTCATAAAATGACAGCAGCTTGAGGCAGTGTCAATGTATCCAACACATGCAGTGAAACAGTACAGTGTGCACTTAATTAAACATTACCGGAAAAAAATCTAGTTAACACAACCCATGTCTTGTTCTTAAATATTTCCCCACTGTCATGTTTTGCCAAGGTCATTTAAGATTGCGCAGCCAGGGGCAGGAAAATCCCTTCAAACTTTGCTGGAGGGATAAGAGCCCAGAGGATAAAACCTATGCTGACGAATGCAGATGTTATTTAGAACAAAGCCTTGAGAGACAATAGAGCCTGTGCGGTGCTGTGCTGTGCCACGCGGGAGATGGCAGGCTGATTGCTCTGTCAATGGGGACTGAGGCTGTCATATCAGCAGCGAGACCTGATAGCATCTCGGACGTCAATGTCTCTCGTTTTCTCCCTGATGTCCTCTTCTCCTTTCCTGTCCTGTCCTCTCTTTTCCCCTTGTCCCTTCTCATTTCCTCTACCACACGCTAACCTGACCTCAACTTTCCACTTATGTCTTCTGATTGTATCCTTTCCCTTTTAGCCCTGCTTAAAACATATAAAGAGACTCATCAGGCCATATTTATAACAAGTCAAACTAGTTTTATCATCAACTAATCCCATAAAACAACCAAAACCTACGATGGTTCGATCCTACCAGCAACCAAACCTCTTCAGTGCCTTTTATTTCCCAAATAAAATGTAATAAGCCACACAGTTAATTTAGGTGGCATATTCCTTTAACATCCTGAACACAAGCCGTGCACTACTGTCATAAATATGTTAGGGCAGCAACCATCTAATTTAAAAGTCTCTATCAAATCCTCCTGTTGGAGTTAAATCTCCATTAATCTGTATTTTGTATCAACATTGCAATCTCATACAAGCTTATTGTTTTGTTTTTATAGCCCACAACTTTATTGTTTTACTGCAGTATCACAGCTTTCATCCACGTTGCATCATGGTAGCTACAGGCAGCTGTTTCGCAGAAAAAATCTCCCCCACTATAAAATACATGCTCAGCATCAAGACACACTGACAAAGTTAGCGACTAGTTAGCTAACATAGTATAGCATTTAGTAATGCTAGAGAGGACATTAGATTTATCAGTACTTGGTGAGTGAATGGTACATAAATCTATATTTTATATGAACATTGCAAGCGCATACAAGCACCTTGTGTTTGTTGAATGGCCCGCAACTGTTTTACTTGTGACTGTAAGGGTTGCCAACTCTCACGCGTGTGACACACGCTTTCACTCTCAATCTCACGCTCCCCAAACTATTCTCACGCCAAAAACAAGATGAACCGGCGATCGTTTTTGGTTGGTTATTTACAATGTTGAGTTGACAGCTGCTCAAGCTGTCGATCCGCTCCCTCCCCCGCACCTACCACTCTTAACAACGTTAACAGACACAGACAGCAGAGAGCAGTGGGAGCCGGTTGGTCAATCCCCGACCCGTATTGCGCATGCGCAGATCTAAGATCCAGTAGAATGATAAAGAAGTAATCGACAAAGACAGCGTAAAGAGCGTTCCGCTGCATTAATTGTTCTACTATGCTCACCCCAATACAGA